GCGCTGGTGCTGATGGTCGTCGGATCGGCGGCGGCCGACATGGCCGACGTGGGCATGTGCATCAGGAACTGCGCGCAGTGCAAGAAGATGTTGGGCGCCTACTTCGAGGGACCGTTGTGCGCGGACGCATGCGTAAAGTTCAAGGGCAAGATGATCCCGGACTGCGAGAACATCGACTCGGTGTCACCGTTCCTGAACAAGCTGGAATAGTGTTCGAGATCGCGCGGCACCGTAAACGAACAGACGAACAGAGTATAATACCGTAGTATATGTATGTATAATATGTACACGATTATAAAAAATAAAATAAAAAAAAATACATTGTAAACATTAAAAAAAAAAAAAAAAAAAAAAATACGTAATAACGTAATAAAATAAATCAGGTAACTTTCCGTTACGGATAAAAAAAATTAACTTAAAGTCTTATCATTTATTGTCAGGTAGTGCAGTAATCGCTGTGGTAGTGACGGTGTACGGGTGGTAGTTGTAGTGGCGGTGGCGGTTGCGGTTGCGGTGGTCAGTGGTGGTGGTGGTGGTGGTGGTGGTGGTGGTCGGCTATGTGCCTTGCGTGTACGACATGGACCAGTAAGCCTTTTTACCGTCGTCACCGCCGTCGGCGTCCACGTCGTACCGTCTTGACTGGACCGACGTCGACGACGGTTCGTTGTAATCGTTGTAATGTTGGAAATACGGTGACAGCGACGCCACCGGGTTCACGCTGCTCTTCCTCTGGTACTCTTGCCTGAGCCGGTCGTACATGTGCTCGTTCTGGTGATCGGACGCGTGGTAGTTGCGCAACGGGTGCAGCGGATCGCCCGACCGGTAATGGCTGGACGATTGGGCGCCGTACGGCGACGACGGACGGTAACGGCGATCGTCGGACGACGGGTCGTAGGCGCGCCCGTGATCGATGTTGATCACCCCGTCGAGATCGTCCTCGTTCAGGTTGCTGCTCATCGACACGAACGACTTGGGCCCGTCCGACGACGACGAATGGTGGTACGACGACGGCCCGTCGTGGTAGTCGTCGAAGTTCTTGCCGGGCAAACCGGTGCCGTACGAGTATCCTCCGGCGCCGGTGCCCCGCAAGGGCACGAAGTCGTGGCCGTGCACGGGTAACGACGACGACGACGACGACGACGGCGGCGGCGGACCGTTGCCGAAACCGCCGGAACGGTAGTTGGACGGGCGCGCGTACGGCTTCTTGTACGGCGCGCCGTACCTGCTGGACTTGGCGGGTTTCTTCGAGTCCAAGAAGTTCGGCAACGTCAGAGGCCTGCGGGAACACGCGGACACCGTATAAATTAGTTCCGACGACGTGCCGTTCCGGAAAACGATCGATTACCTGTGGTTCCCTTCGTCGTCGAACTCCATGGGCACGTACTCGTAGTGCGAGTTGTGATCGCCGTCGTCCGAGTCGTCGCCGTCCGCGTCCTCCAGGTGCTCCTCCGCCGATTCGGACGACTCGCCCAGCGGGCCCGGCCTGTAAGCGTGACCGCGACCGCGGAACCTGTTCGCCGGCCCGATCCGCGGCGTGTCGTAACCGTGCCCGCTGGCCGCCCGGAACTCTTCGTTCACGTCGTAGTCCAACCGTTGTTCCATGATCGCCTGCGTCATGTCCGGTTGGATGCGGTCGGCGAAACGTTTGACCGGCGTCGCCCTGGGCACGTCCAGGTTCACGTCGATCATCTCGTCCGCGAGCGCCGGACCGTCCTCTGACGCTGTGTCGTTGCCGGCCAACGAAACGGCTTCCACCCCTCTTTTAAGTCTCCTATCGCCGGATATGGCGTTCGAACTCATCACCGCGTTGCCGTCCAACTCGTCCGTCGCTTCGATTATGGTGATCACCCGTGTTCCGGGGTCTACCGATCCAATACCCGTGTCCGTTACCGTCGCGTTACAGTTCTCGCAGAACAATATCTTCGCTTCCGTCATACCGGACTTAAGATTGTTCTCGACGTTCGACTGCAACGCACAAATTTAGATCCGCATTACTATTATCGTCCCTAGGTACGTTTCGGTGAATCACATATCTAGTGTAATGTCATAATATTACTGTGTTTCCCTAATATACATAGGCGTGCGCAGGGGGTATGCAGGGTATGCAGCTGCATACCCTAAACATAGAGCCTTCTTTCTAAAATTACAAAAAATAAATAAAATAAAACCATTTGGTTTTATGTATATTATGTGAATTTGTATTACATTATGATGTTTATTATATTTTTATATTCAGTCCCAGACGGTTTAATTTATTTTTGAAACACAAACCATCATATGCTATAATAACGATTTAATGTGTTAATGAAATCAAGAAGTACAATAATTCAAGCGAGATTAAATAGCTATCAACCACAGAACAAGAAATGGCTATAAACTAAAATCCCGAAAACATTATTGGTGATTTAATAACTCAACTATACGCAGAATCGTTTTATGATTAATTTTGATTATTTATTATATTTATTTTGTTTTTCATTTAAGTATATAATTACGTTTTTATTTGTTTACCCTATTTAAACGTATTACTCAAACCATTTCAAGTGTTATGTATTTAATTTTTTTTTCGTAATTTGTTTTGAATTTTAATTATAAAGACAGTTATAATGATTAAGAAATGGCTATTCAGTCACTTTTTTCGGGAGAAAAAATTAAAATTTTAAATTAAATAGTTATTAAGACCAGAATTTTGAACGCTTAAATTAACTTTCAGTTTGGGGGGGGGGGGAGGGTATGCAGTGGCAGCCTTTTGCATACCTTGAAAAAGAGGTCTGCGCACGCCTATGCTAATATACGTTCATTATATATTTCTTGGTACTTGCGACAATAAGTTCCCAAACATTTATTTTATAAATACAATCCGATGGCATCGGAATATGTGTAAACACATCAGTATACTTACAAGTCTAGTGTTAGGTTCAGCTGTATCCAACGAAGTGTCAGCCCATTTAGTCAAATCCATCCTAGGTATTACACCGCTTCTGCACGGAACTCTAGGATTCCTAGAACATGATTATAAATCGAGTTTAAAATGTACACGAGTGTGACGACAGTAGAATTTATTAACAATAATTTCATTTAATAATACAGAAATAATGGACCATAAATCTTAATAAATATAAAAAACTCCATCACGAAATACAGCAACAGCATATTCAAAGAACCTTAAATTATATCTACTGTACAAGTGTTGATAGCTACGTACAGTTCATGATCTGATAACACCATTGGATACATTTGAACTGTGTCTATGATATCAGTGTTGTCGCAAACCAAACGAGCCAACCTGACGTTTCTAATCTCTTGTAATTGATCTTTAACAAACAACGTTACAATCAAAACTATGAACAACACGTATTCCGCTTCATGTGTTTAATGCATGTATACAATTTATACCTGGTGTGAAAGATGATGGTTGGTCTGGCAGCTCGTACCAAAACCGATCACCTCTTTTCAATAAACTAAATTGCGAAGCTATAATGCAGCTAAAAGTCGGCCCAACCACGCTTCCGGTTGCTGGTTTCTCGGAAACGCCACCGGACCACAAATCGATGTCAAACGGTGACCTAATACATACGCACGCGTTGAATTAAAATCTTTATTAAAAATAACTAAAAAAATGTTATTTTATATCGACTTACGAATATACCATCTGGTATCGTTGAATGGTGGAATTTGGCATAAATCCCACCATTTCTTCGAATCTGTTGGCTACGGGAAGTCCGCAGTACCGTCTGTATTCCATATAACCAGGTAATCCGAAATCTCTACCCCTTTGTATGTTGAATGACACCAGATCGAAACCAAACCCTTTACCAGGCTTTTTAATTAAATTATTAGTAACTTCTTTTGTGATTGAGTCATCCATCGCCTGAGCTACTTGATTCATTAGGCCCATAAGGTATTCATCGATCGCTCCCGCTCTGTACAGATCGAAAGGTCGACGTATCAAGTCCGATAGTTTTTTGGATGCTGAGTAACAAGTTTATTAACACAGAAGCAATGAGCATAGGAGTAAAAGTTATTAACAGTACATATTGTTAACAATACAATTCATACCGATGAAACCATGTGCTTTGCTCCAACGTTCGATGGTGTTCGGTAATAATGAATGACCAAAACGAAAAGCAGCTGCCGAAAACGAAGCCAGTATGTTAGGATTCGTGTTTGAATCGTATCCATTCCAATATCCCTAAAACATGAAGTATTTAGAAAATAAATAATTACATTTTTAACAAAAATCAATAATCACCCGTTTTTTATTTGTTATATCATATTTGTCCATAATTTCTTTACCCAAAAGTATTGGCAGAAATTCATTGAACGTTATGTGTTGTATTTCTGCCACGACTACTCTCTTGGATTCCTGAAATGAAAATAAGTAGTTTTAATAGATATTCTTGACGATTTTCTACTTATTTATATTACTTGATAAAGCATTTCATCGTTCCAGTGTGGATTAATTTGTGATAGCTCTTTTGCTACACGGTTGTGTTCTCTGGCCATTATCGTATGAATGCAAGTTAAAACAAGTTGTTCGTTCACTCTAATTTCTCCTGCAAAATTCAAATAAGTGAAATATAGAACGAACATTGCGTTACATAAATTAATAAACAGGACTAACCTGACTCAAAACAATACTGAGAATTGTTTGACCTAATACATCCTTCGTCTGGAATATTCAGTTTCATAGGTAAAAGTTCTTTTAGCCCTAAATTCGCGAATGCTGGGTTCATCCTCAATTGTCCCGTAAATCCAGATCTCAGGTACCTAGAAAAAGTTTCATCTACTCCATAGATGGTGTTACCGTCGATTACAGGAGTTAACAAGTTGAACGGAGTCCGGGTCCCTGGAAGAAAATAAAACAATGTATTAGTGAAGAATATAGAATCATTAGCTTTAGTAACTTTCGTCATCTGCGCTACCTAGTGTACAGTCGGGTTTGACACCTGGAAAGGCTCTCACGAAATCTTGGCATCTGACATTGTGGTTTTTATAAAAATTATCGTCTTCTGGAATTTTTATCTCGTAACAGTATTTGTTTTTCAAATGATCAGGACGACCACAGCATTCCTCGGGTTCGTTTCTGTTCACTGGATCTATGGGTGGTAAAGTATGTCGTGTTAACCAAACACCACGACGAATGACGAAAAAGAAGTAGGAACGGAAATTTAACTGGTGCAATAGTATGTAATTACCCAATGGTGTAGCTGTTAGCGTAAGGTCGTGATCCATGAACTGTCCCCAGGCCACTAACATGACCGTACCAGCGTGTTCGTGCAGACCCTCATCTGGGTGAATCGTTCGGGACACGATTCGAGCTAAAGGCAATGGATCACCGGAAGCCGAAACCTTGGGAACGGAAAACTTGTCGGCAAACCTTGGAGGCAATAATCTAAAAATATAAGTGACAATATTTTTTCGTTAACGCGGGCGCGAGGAGAAAACAAAAACGGTGAGAACACGATAATCGTGCTGTCAGAAAAAATTCTAACCGATTGAACGTAGACATTGTGGCGCCCCAAGTAGGATTGTACATGTTGTTGCACAGTCCATCGGCCCTGCGGTATTTTCCCGACTTGCAAGCCACTCTTGACAAACACGATGGGCACACGTTCCGTATGAGCGTCTTGGACGTGTCTATCATTGGCAAGAATTTGTTCACGTCTTCGGTGGTCAAGTCGTACCTAAATTATCCATGGAAAATAGACAAAAACATTTATAACTCGACATTCATCAAAACTAGTCTAATCCTATTGATAGTAATAATATAAACTCATTTATATTATAATGTGCATATATTAATAGATATATTCCTAGGTTTACATTTTTGCCAGTACTTGAGAGACATCCAAAAGCAGCTCCCCGAGTCTAGCGAAGTGTATTGGTCCCCATTGATCATTCGGTTCCTGTAACACTAAAAATGACGGAATGTAAATAAAAAAATTATCTTAATTATCTTAAATACTACACGTATACTCACTGTGCCGATTTTGAACGTCTAAAAAAGCTCTGTTGACCGTGTCGTACGTGATGCACATGTGAGCCGCTGAGCGGGGACTGTAAAATCATATTAAAATAATGTCGTATAAACTATAATGTACCGGAGGTAAAAACCATAGGTTCGAGTAATAAATCTACACTCAAATTTTCCATTAGTATCTAATAAAAATATGAATAGACAACATAAAGGAAATAGTTATTAAGATGTAATAATTTTTAGCTTTCACATCGTCGATGGAAAGAAAACTGAAAAAAAAAAATCAGAAATAGTTGTCAAATTTATCAGCTATGCTATTATATTTAATTCAATAAAATCAGTAGATCTTATAGTTTAAGGATTTATATTAATGTTAATAAGAATGTGGTAATTTTTTTTATGTACGTTTTAAATGTCAAATTGTGGAAAAACATATTATATTCACACATATGGATGATCATTTATTTTTTATTGAACTTAATTTATATTCATTTTTCAAATACGATGATTTATTAATGCTTACAAAGCGCATTGAAATAACGTGAACAACACAACAAAGGACAACTACTCAGATCCAGTTAGTGTTATCCTATCATGTTTTTTTTTTTTTTTTAATAATCAAATATAAGAGTATTAAAAGTAGGTAACAGTTATACAACTAATCATAATAATTTATCAAATTTTAAATAGTTTTAAGTAAAATTATTTATTTTTCTATTTCGACGGTTGATGATTGCTTTCAAAACTATACACATAACAGCATCATAACACTCGTTGTCCAAATTACATTATGGTACTTACGGCAAACCCTTCCCACTGTTGTAAATGAAATGTTTCGACCCTTCAAGTACGACGGCGCAATCGTTGCCGTCCACGCCCTCGATTGGCACGTATTGCGCTGCGTGTCCGAAACACCAGACGAACCCAAACAACATAAACGCCCTGGAACAATAAATCATTATAAAAACAATAGGCGACAATGATGATTATATCATAATAATATGAACGTTTCAAAATATTTTGCGGCTAATATTGTTATATATATATATATATATGTATAAAACAGAAATTCGTAACAAATGTACGTGTTGTGCATTTATTTTCTTTTGTCAAAAAATTATGATTGACTGGATACGCGCGTCATAAGCGGAACCGACCAATACGTATAAGTTCATAATATATTTATAATATATAGATATATAATTTGTGCGTTTATGTGCGATAGAGACAAAGAGATATTCGTTTTGTCCAGTCATTGAGCCGTGAAAAATAAAAAAATAATACATTTTTCTTCTCGCACGTGGAAAAGGAACCAATGGAAATTCGTAGCATTCACTTATTTCTGTGTTTGTTTTTATATTTATTTTCAAGTTTCACTCTCATACACCAATGTTATTTTTAATGTATATTATATAGTTTTCTAAAATCCCAAATTGTCCATATAAATTACATTATTAGACACACGCATACACAAATATAAGTAGGCGACAACAGACCGATTCATATAAATATTAAACGTTTAACGACCGTGCAGGATGTTTATGAATGATTGATATTCATTGTTCTCATACAAACACCCAAAACCGAATGTTTGATAATTGTGCAACGTATAGTTACAATTTCATTCATTACTTATACACTCTCAAAATAATACCGAACTTAATATTTAATGATTATCATTATATTGCATCTAAAAATTACCTACTGTTTTTATGACTAATAATATAATTATTACATACTACCCCTACGTAAACAATTTGTCAATAAATGTATTTATATGTTTTGAATTTCAAAATAGCAACGAATTATTCTGGTTTGGTCGTATGAAATGAGAATACGTTTTAAAATTAAGTTCGATACATCATGATAGAAATATTAGCATATTTATTTGGAAATTTAACCAGGTTGGTTCGATTTGTTTAACACAAAATCGTGAAGAAAAGCCGGTTACATAATATCATACATAATTTTTTAGTTCACAAAAGTTTCGAGAATGTATTTTCGCATCAAACAATGATTCAGGATTTATTTTATATATATATATATATATATATATAATTTTTCTGTATGTTTTAAAATTTCACAAACATTATTAAAATTTTTAATTTATTGATCTGAACTGCACCACAAAATATTATTTCATCATTCGTATTAATCGTATTAAATAGTAATAATAGGTGACTTAGACTAGAAAACCCATAACGCACTAATTTTACCATAAGTTTAATCAATTGTTTTTTTGGAAAAACACATTTTTTTGGTTGTAAGATGATAATATGATAAACATTTTATTTTAGATTTACGTGGGAAAAATAATTGGTTTTACAGTTCTACATATTTGCGAGTAAAAGAATTTCTTTTTAATGAACAACAAAAATGTGATAACATTATTTTTTAAATTAAATTATTGAATTCAATCAGAAATTGAAAACGGTCATGGAATTCGATGTTGTAAGTCATTAAAAAAAATTATTTTAATACTAAATAACACGGTCTAACGCCTACGTAAGTGAAACAAAATATACGCTATAACTAGACTGAAAATAGTCTAAATCATTTTTTATTTTTTAAATTATATTTATTAGTTATCAATAACATTTTAAAGATTATTTAATTTTTAACTGTCTATAAATTAAATGCTAACACGAGTAAAAATGATTTGATCATCTAAGAAGTAAAATAGTATAAACATGTACCTACCCATTATTATTGTAAATAGTAATAATAAGTATATAGTTTATCTATTGAAAGAAACATTTTAAATAAAATATTCCATGTAATATACGAGTGTAGTTTAATGCTAGAAAAACTAACTATACTGAAACAAAAAAAAAAAAAAAAAAAACTTCAAAATTGTTATGAAATTGTAAATTCTGAAAATTAAACTACCTATACGTATAATAGCAAATTAATTATAATGTTGGTAAGGAAATAATATTTCATAAGAGTTTTGGATCAGACTAGAATACACTTTTATTTTAACGGATTGGAATAAGCTCATGTAGTACGGAATGGAAAATATCAAAATAAAAGTAAGGATTAATATTTAATTTTTTTTTTACGTCAGTCGATTCTAACTTGATTTAACAATAATTATTAACCCTCTCCCTATTTAAAAAGAAATAAAGTATACATAGAATGCTGGTAAACCCTTTTTGATCTGATGTTTCTAACCTGCTCGCGAGTTACGGACACTGCAATCGCGAAGAAATAATTATTTTTTGGTATTAATAATTGTCATAATTTTACACTTGTACGCGGCATAATTTGCTATAATATTTAAACGTGTACGTTTTTTTCCATGGTATTTCAATTCTATTAATCTAGGTCTAATTTTTGTTAATTTACGTACCGGACCTGTTCGGAGTGCATAAATATATCGATAATAGTAATAAAAAAAAAAAAAAAAAAAAACCAACATGCATCGTACGACCAACTGCTAAGGGGATCCATCAAACTGTAAGCAGGTATACGTGCAAATTAAAAACCAGCTGCGCAACCGCGATACTTCGTCGTCCGAGCTGTTTACAGATCGGGACTGCTGCGTGATTCACCGTTCCCGTATAAGATGTACGAAAAAATAAAACCCTCTCGAATTCACCAAACGGACTGGTAAAATAGCTTTACGGCGGGGCACGGGGACACGCAAGCACAACTTTTGGGCCTCGCAACCGTTACGGTATAGAACCAACGACTGTCGGGTCCGAGCAACGGCTGCAGACGGATTCCCGAAGTGCAGCCGTATCGAGATCGACCGATGACCGTCGAATCGCGAAGGAACCGGAATACCGTTAATGTTGCGAACGACGATAGAACGCACGTTTCGGCTACCGCAACCGTCAATAATGACGGGATGATTACCTACCCTTATTGCGATGGGCGCGCGCGCAGCAGCAGCGAACCTGAACATTTCGGAGTTTCGAAGATAACGTTTCGCTTAAAAAAAAAAGTGCACGTCAGCGTTTACGTTTTTTTTTTTTTTTTTTTTTTCGGTTGACCGTTGGCGATCGGAATTTTTTTTGTTTTTCGTCGACGTTCAGAACGATTTCAAAAACGTTTCGCTCGACGACGCTTGGGCCCAGCCGAACAGCGCAGGTTCGATTCCCCGGGCTCGCCCCGTAGAACGCAACGCAACATTAAAACAAAATAATAATAACGACGATAATCTACGAGCATGCTCACCGCAGGGCCATTCCGACTCGGAAGACGACGTCGACGCCGTGCACTCGGCACCTCTGGCTCACCTCGGTAGGGCGATTTCGATTTCGACCGACGTGTTCGCGCGGAGACGTGAACGGCTCGAGAGAGACGGTTTTCTTTCGTACACGTTTGACGGTCGTCGGCACGCGATTGATAGTCAGCGGATGAGAACGGTATTCGCGTTTGGTCGACTCGGCGTCCACCCTACCCACCACCCGGCCGCTGTTCGCTCTACCTTCTTTTACCGGTACTACTACTGCTGCTTAGGTTAGTACCTAGCGCGCTGCATTCGTACGGAGGCAGGTGCGCTGCTTCTCCTCCACGCGGTGGTGCACGACGATGTTGTTATGTTCCGGCACAACGGTCAGGGCCGCGGAGAGGGAGAACCGCGAGCCCGTGTAACGTGGACGTTTTTCGACCTTACGGCTGGCCACTCGTAACGGGATACGGGCAGTTGCCGGTCGTTTTTATGTACGTTTCAAACGGCAACTCTTGACTTGGGTCCCGACATTAGAAAAAAAAAAAAAAAAAAAAAAAAAAACACGAATTGGGTCCATGGTCACATCTGATAATACGTGGATTGGGTCCACGGTTGGCTTTATCTTGTTGTTATCTCGATTACCCAACTCGAGTTTTCCCAGTGAAAGATGTGTGTCTGAAATTTCTTCCGTAATTTAAACTGTATAATTATAAATAAACTATTATTAGTAAAAATAAATTAAAATTTAATCTAAAACCAAGCCAACTCAATAATAATTTTTCACACACAAAAAAAATTCTAATCGAATAATAATTTTAATATTTTAATAATGTTTACATCAGACCGTTACCTTTGTACATCATAATAACCAAATTGTTTGGAACACTTACTAGCCAACCTCCACGTGGTGTCTTCTGGGTAATGCTAATAGGCTGTACCCAACTCATGTAGTCGATAAAATGTATTGGGACCCAAATCATGTACTCGATAAGATACGTTCGGACTCAATTCATACTATTTTTGAAATTTAGGACCCAAGTCGAGGTTATTCTTTCAAACAACTCCTGTGTGTTAACCGTTAACATGCTACATGTTTGAGTGTGTGTGTCGATAAACGAAATCGTTCTAGAGTAGCGTTTCTAGTGTTTCCTCCGATCAATGGGCGGAAGGACCTTAAAACCTTGAATATGATGGGTGGGGGGGGGAGCGAAATGATTAAAAACGTGATATTAATTCAAATTCAGGATTTGGTTGTGGAGGGTAAAATAATTTATTTTTCACTTTTAGAATTTAGAATCCGTTTCTTTTACAGAATATTTGGATCACTTAAATCATACATTAAAAAAACAAATCATCATCGTGTACATTTTATTTTTTAACTATACAAAAAATCTTTGTACCTTTAATGTAATCTGCCGATGTAAATGCAAAAATACCAGAACTGCAATTCTATTTTAGTCTTCTTATTCAAATTTTCGACTTAATTAGCAATCAAAATGAACAGGAAGCATACTATTTAATGTAAATTTATTAAATTCATCATTAATTGTAGTTATATTATATTTGTTAATTTTACTAATATATACTGTGCTTAAAGCATCAATTGACTATGTAATAATGTCTAAATTATAATCATAAAATAGCAAACATTTTTCATAGTCGTATTAAAAAACTATCAAGAATTAGCAAAATGATAATAACTATAGTAAATTAATATAAAAAAATGCAGAATCAAATAAAATTAATAAACTTACATTTAAATATAATTTAAACATGCTAAAACATAAAAAGTCTGTTGATAACAAAACCTCCAACGGTAAAATAATTTAATATAAATAAATTTGAAATAAAATTGATCAACTGGCCAGTTGGCTATATCAATTTAAGTCCACTTTTTATAGAAGCAAATGACTCATCTATGACAATGCTCCTATCACGTGCGGAGAGGGCTTTTTCTGAATTCTTAGAGAGGCGTAAGTTCCAACACATTAAATCTCAATCTTTATTAATCATTATCAATATGTCCCTCAGAAGACGATATTTATTCAATTTATTTTTAATTTATTTAAAGTGTGACATTTTCAACAAAACCTAAAAGGGGATGGCAATAAAAAAAAAAAAAAAAAAATTAATTAATTATAAAAATGTTTAACAGAATTTACATTTATTTATAATAAACTTTAAATTTTCAAGTACATTCAATATCGTGGAAGGAAAACAAAATATTTCATATGATTTTTTTGACGTTTGAGGTGGACACATAATACAATCGATGTTATTGTAATGCTTCATTTTTAGAATAATAGGAAGTTCAAATTTAGATAATAGTGGAGTAAATAAAAGCAGAATAATCGATCAAGTTGAAGCCTTGAAGCCGCAGAAAAAGCCATTCTTACATGTGATAGCAAAACGTCAAATATTGAATACGATTTTTATATAATATAACGTATTGTGTTAACGAACGACTTTTTAGTATTTGAACACTGTCGTGGTTAATTGATTGAGCTAGGCACTATACATGACTAGCGAATTGAGATTCAAATGCAATTTTCATCCACAATCAAAACGTTCACATTGCATTATACACACAACAGTATAATAGTATAATAAAGTATATATATACATGTATATTACGAACCATGTATTACAAACCAAAAAATTATTAAATAATGAAATAGATGATTTTTATTTTAAAGTCTTATTAACTTTGAAGTAGTTAATGATTATATCATTAGAAACTCTTGTTTATTTTATATTTCTCATTGTTCCTCCAAGTTACATACTTAACTATTAATAATCTATTGCACATTGGTAACTCTGTTAATATTGATTTTGATTTTTTTTTTCATAAACCGTATACTGTTGTTTATTGATTTTTCTCCTTTGTTTTGTATTTTTATATTATTATCTTTATTGTTTTTCTTGTTGCTTAATGATTTTAATATTTCCTATACGTTATTATCATTTTTCTTTTTTTTTTTTTTTTGTTCGACTTGCCATTTAGTCGTAAATATTATAATTGTAATACTGCATTGTATTTTGTAATTGGACCTCGGTCCATATTGCCTACAATATATAGGTTACTTGTTATCCAATTAAATTGTCTTCTGTACTGTTTTTTTATAGATATTACCTACTTATAGTCTTTAGTTATGTGTTAATTAATCACTTCGATTTGATTCAGCTATGCACGCACGCACTCGACGCTGTATATTCTGTACACAGCGTTTCGTTAAGAACACGTTTGTCGACGAGTGCAATCATTTAGATAAAACCTGTGCCGCTTTTTTCGTGCACTCGCGCGAAAACAATATCATTATATTTTGTACACTCGTAAAAGCGTGCAACTTGAGCCTGACAACATTTACGCACTCACGTTAAGCGTCCAACATTTACAGCGTTTAAGCATTCCCGTAGCTGTTCACGTTTTTTCTTCGCCCACATTATCCGTCGTCGATTTATATACAGATCGCGATCGACCATCAACAACGAGTCAATTTTACATCACACGAAAAAAACATATATTTATTCAATTAGACGATAAGATTAATCTAGCGGTTCAGAGGATATCGTATTCGTTTGTTTACTCTGACCCCGCGTGCGTGACAGTGTTTTAAATTATACCATCACACGCTCGTAATAATAAAATAATTTAGCCTATCACGCGGTAATTGTAGAAAACTTTATTTTTTTTTTTTTTATGTCACTCAAAACAAATGTTATCTCTGACCTTAAGCTTACGAATTCGATAAACCAGTTATGTACGAATATTATATTATATTGGTATATTGTTAAAAATATTTGTTTTACCGCTGCTTGATTCGAACAATATAGCACTATAATGTGATCGAACGAGCACAAAGCTTAACGTGTAATTCTCGTGTTTCTGAAGATAGTGATATAGATATAGCTTATTGTTTATTTAGATCATCGAGATTTCAACATCCAGTAACTTTATATGACATACATAGAGTAATCACCTTCTGCTCTATTTAGAATTCATTTGATAACATAACCGTTATGCTATCATCTATGCCCAGTTAAAATGTCTTTACTTTCAGGCATTTGATTCTAGTTATAGTTAAACTCCTCAGTATTCACTTAATTTCGATTTCGAGTACTCCGACCCGGAACTGCTGATCATACCGATTGGTATGATTAACAAATTTTAAAGATTTATCTGTACAACTAGTTTTTAGAATTTCTTTTTTTAGTCATATAACTGCACACATTGCATCCAGGACAATACATTTTCTAGTGTTCACGTATTAATACTGAACAAATCATATTTCCTTACTCTCGAAATTCCGGATAGTATAATATGTTGAATTATTAAACTCAAACCATTACAAATGTTGTATAATATTACATTGTTTTCGTTGTGGTAATATTTCCGCCATTTATACTGTTAACCGCAGGTGTTTAGAGCACTACGGTGAGGATTATGTGATTTAAAACGGCGAATGTTTTCAATTCTTGTAATTATCATTATTAAATACTTGATATTGCACAACACTCCGTGTGTGCGGTACTGCATTGTAACATTTTTCATAATAAAATTGGCGGAACCATAAAGAGCTGAAATCGTAAACTAATCAATACGACATTAATAATCTAATTTATATCGAATGTTATTAGAAACATGTGATTAAATGATTATACTTGTTTTTAATAGACAATCGACATAGTGTATAAGTAAATTAAAAAAATAATTAAATAACACTCATTGCAATACCCCTTGTTACTAATTAAAAATTACAATATAGTATAATTGTTTTAATTGATTTATGGAACCACCTCCGTTAAAAATACAAATGGGTTTTTTATTTAATTTTTTTTTTTTTTTTTTTTTAATTTTCGGAAGGAATAAATTTAAATTAATATTTATTTTAGGAAAAAACTTGGGTATGTTAATGTTTTCCACGGGTATACACAGTTTTGTGTTCAAGAGAAATTTTTTCAATAACTCAATCAATTCAAGAAAGAAAAAACGTTTTATACCCCTTTCGCAATGTCCCATTCGCATTGGATGACATGTAAAACGTGTCACTTGATTTCGGTTCGGTATGCCAAATAGTCCGTAAAATCCGTTATTTTTTATCATTTTATTTTTTTACATTTTTTTTTTTTCATATCTACGTAAATCCGAGTCGATTGCATAACAACAACAGGTACCTGTAGAATTTCTCAATAGGTTATAAAACCAATCCAACACACTATAGATACTATAGATAGTATTGCTATTATACTATTCCAAATTGTAAAATACAAAACCAACTGACAGCGAGTGTTATCGCGTTACATACTTATGTATACGTGACAACATAATCACTGTACAGGCATGTGATACGTCAACGATATTATCGAAATAAATGTATGTGTAAGTGTGTGTGTGTGTGTTGGCGGCCCGGCGAAATCGTCATTTTAAAAATAATAACATTTTTCAAAATACTCTCACTATGAAAGAAATATTTGAATTGCTCATGGGTCAAATGAATAAATTATTGTTAATGATTATTGCTAATTAATTTATTATTTATGACTATTGTGTAACGCAAATGATGCACACAAAGTGTACGGAGATAACGTATTTTTTTTGTTAGTATTACATGCATAATTTGTACAAATATTTAAGTATATTTAATTATTTAATTTTTAGTAATTAAAACGAAGTTATTTAAAAAAAAAATCTTAGTCATCACTATAAACGGGCATACGTAAACTGCGCCCGAAATTTTATCTATGTTAAAAAGGTATTGTGTAAACTGCGCTCAAATTTTTATCTTTGTTATAAAGGTATAGTGTAAACTGCGCTCGAATTTTTATCTATGTTATAAAGGTATAGTGTAAACTGCGCCGGACTTATTAACTTATTAAAGTCTCTATGTATGTCGCTTTCATTTAGCACAGTCTTGGAATAGAAGTATCCAACAAAATGGTTTATGTAATGGCTATAAAAATAAAAATAGTGATATTAGAATATGGTTAGTTCAATATTACGGTTTACCATTTCTAAGTTCAAGAAGTATTTTGTCAATTATTTATTGAAATCAAAGCCTGACGACGAAAGAGTGACACGATTTGCGGATTATTTGTTAGACGTAGTTATAAGTGAAGAAGCTCAGTATTCACTTGAAATATGGGCTCAAGCATCAGCAGAGCCACTTTAACCACAAATGCATGCGAGTCTTTTCATTCTCACATTAATTCCAGCTTTTATACAACTCATCCAAATATTTTCATGTTCATAGAAAAGTTAAAAGAAATTCGATTAGAAGTATGCATTAAACTAAATAGTATAAATAAACCGTTTAAATTCCAAAACTCTATAACAAAAAAAAAAAAAAAAAACGCGAAAACTTAGAAAATTTAATTAATAAACATAATAGTGGTCAAATTCCAATTGAGGAATATGTATCCACCATATGTTTATTATTTGTAATATTTTTATTTATTTTGCTTTTTAAAATTATATATATTTTTTAATTATTCATATTATATGGCTGTAACGAATTATTTTACCAGTCATTTTACCCGGGCGCAGTTTACATGTCACCTTTTCACACTTGATAAAAACTCGAGCGCAGTTTACATGTGTGATTTTGTGTTTACCTGTATTTTGGGCGCAGTTTACGATCGCCGCTATAAACAGGTACACTGACAAATAAAGGTATATTGCTTACCTGTTTGCTATAGGAATATATATCATTTATTTCAGTTTTGTGTGTTGGCACCACAATGTACCAATGTAGATTCATTTCAAGTCCTACGTTAGAATTTTCAATTTTAACGATATTAAAATTGAATTCACTGTTGGTGCCTATACATGTACCGTAGTAGTAATACATAATCTTTTTTTAGTATACCACATATTGTCATACATTATTTACCATAAAATCTTACACTAACCCGTTTTACGTTTGTCAAACGTTTTTCAAGTGTAATAATTTATAACTATAATACATTTTAAAATAATATTTCAACACCGGATTTCGCCAAAATTAACGAAGTTTCCACACAAGCATACATAAAAAATGTATGTTTTGTTAAATACATATAAACACAGTAACTTCCATTACAATTAAAAAACTATTGACAACTTTTTATGCATACTTTTGTTTGCATTTATATGTCATACATGAAAGATAAAAGGCTAGATAAGTTCGGTGAATATTGTGGATTAATAATATTAATACAAAAATAACACGGTAGATATGAAATTTGTTATTATTATTCAATATTGACATAAATAATTTTTAATTAGTATACTTAAGAATCAACATAATATGCTTAATATTAAATAAAATTAAAAGGTAATCAATAGGTACAGGATCAAAACATATATTGTACAAATGTCGTTTATTTCAAAATCAGTTTTGGTCGGGTTCAATGATAATATTTGTTATAATAATCAAGATATAACTATCGAGTTTTCCTTTATTAATTGTTCACTGTTAACTAGTGACTGATTTAGCAATAAAGTCATAGTACACTATGTATACAGGTATACGAGATATTCATTAGACCAAAGCGATTAATCTACATTATTTCGTAATAATATATATTAGCCTATATAACTATTCGACTTTTTATACAAAAAAAAGTTTGATGCAACTCAATATTTTAAATTTATTCACATTTCTTCCTGGCATTTACCCTTATAAATTCATATTTAAAAAATCAGCTATTTTATAATCACTCCCTTGATATTATATTTGCACATGAATAGAACATGGGTATATTTACTCTTATAGAACGAAAAATAGTGGTAAATCTAATCATATAATTTGATAATTGGTAAAAAAAATAAAATCACGAGACAAAATTACATTTTAAACAATAATAAAAACAAAAAAATAGTAAAAAATTAAATAATAAATTAAAAATATAAAATTTACTTAACCAGAAAAGCTTGTGGCTAAGACTAGATTACAATAGTAGCGAAGAATCGATTGGATCAGAGTGCTTTTGAAGTTTCTCTACATCTTTCTGTGGCCTTTTCCAATGCATCGATTAATGCATGTCTTATGCCGCCATTTTCTAAAGCACAGAGGCCGGCAGCCGTGGAACCTATAGCCATACAGTTGAAGTAGTTGTAAAAAATGCGTTATTAAGTTATGGACATAGTAATAGAAAATATAATGGTTTCGAAAATAATAACTTATAGGTTTGATATGCAAATGGTAAAATCCAATCAATAATAGAAACCTATTAAGTCGAAATTAGTTGAAACCAATCGTGTTGTACAGTAGAAACACTATTTGTCTAAAACGTTAAACTAATATTACATTACAGAAATATTTTAACACCAATATGACCGTGAACCATTGATTTGTTATGGTTCATCTGCCCTACGGGTGAAAGCTATAATATAATATTCTATATTATGTTAGTAAAAACATATTTTATCTTTATAGCCTAATGGCTCTTGACCATAACAAATATATATTGTATTGAAGCTGATGGAATTAAACTTATTCGTTTAAATTTCAATATAAAAACTACCGAAATGTACTATTTTTATTTTGCTAATACATAAATTAAAAATAAAATATAATTCGAAGTTGTATAATATTATGGTGGAAATAAGACGTAAAAATAAGTGAACTACCGGAATAGAAAGTATTTCACTACAATTTAAAGTTGTTGTAAATACGTTTCAAAAACAATTTACATAAAGTAATATGTCAAACTATAAAATTATTTTTAAAAACAATTGAAAAAAATAAGAAATACGTGCAACTCTGTGTATCATCTCTATTTGTGTTTAAAATAGTCATTTTTTGGTGCAAGGTAATTATGAATATACAACGTGTATCATTGTTTGGTCAATTTAATTTTAAAATCTGTCCCCTTCGAAGATTTAATAAACCGGAAATACGCTGTTATGTTAATCAAAAGTTTAACTTACCCGCTGGTGATGTGACGTCGTCCTTCAGTTTTCCTGGATGTTCTCGCGTGTCCCTAACCATAGTCCCTGCACCTAGGACCGTTTGCGACGCTAACCGGTACGCCATATCCCTAGGAATGCCCATACGGACGGCACCGTCGGCCATTGCTTCAATAATCACGTACACCTGTAACATTACGGGAAAATCGATTTTACTTCGTTTTCAATTTACTCGCCGTTACGGTCGTATTAGTTCCGCGTGTTGCCCGTGCGCGTGTATTAACATTTTCGTACCATCTTTATCGCGCGACGAAATGATCAATCTCGCTTTACCTACACGCAAATCAAATAATCGCAACGAAAAGTCACGAACAACAATCAAATGTGTCAACGTTTTCCATTGTTGTTCAGTTTTAACATGACTGGTTTCGTACGTGTAAGCTGTACGCCCATATATAATATATATGGTATATTATACTCGAAGCATAATATAAACAGTAAACTATAGTACACACATAAATATACATAATACATAATACATATATGTGTGTATATTATACATAATATTATGCTATGCCCTACGTAAGACTTGAGTTACTGATTATTATGACAGCTATTGTGCATTTTTTTTTTTCACAAAAAAAATCACTTTACAAGATTTATGCATAATGTGTTTGTAATAAATATTTTTTTTTCTTCGACATATTTACAGTTATTTTACTTTTACCACGTGAATCTCACCTTATTTATGTACTCTACGAATTGCAATCTACACTCATATGTGATCATCACTTAAACTGCAAAAAAATCAATCTGAAATGGTATCGTATAGCCAAATTTGTTAATGAAATAAGTGACGTATTACTAAGTGAAGTTGAAAAAATTTCCAAATTTCTTTTTCTCGGATAAGGGAAAAGACCCCGGTGATCATGTGGGGTCATTCGAAATTTCAAAATGTACTCAGTAGACACTGAATTCCAGTTCTAATGATCCATGACAAACCGATAGTCAAACGAAAGAAATATCACGTAGGTTGTGACGTCTAAGACTAGAAATAATGTAATGAAATCAGTCGTGCATACAAAAATAAGATACTAATACTATAAATCTTACGTTCAGGCTTTACAAGTTTACCGGTTTAAACAGAAGAAACAGAAGAAAAATACATGACTTATGTTGATAACTGATCAAGTATACCAAAAACAGCCGTAGGTTTTCAGCCATCGAAAATGATATTTTCAAGCTTACACATGTCTAACACTACACATCGATGCCATACAATAAATTAGTAATACTTGTTTAATATTATGTTCATTAATTCATTTTAACATATAGGTAAATTGCACATAATTTAACTCACGTAACCTGGACCGGAACCACTAAGAGCGGTGATTGGGTCCATCAAATACTCTGGTACACGTTCCGCTGTACCTACTGCCGACAACAGTTTTTGCGTCAGCTTATTGTCTTCGTCTGTCGTATGGTTACCCGGCACGTACACAGAAGCACCGCACTGAACCAACGCAGGAGTATTGGGCATCACTCTTACTACCTTCGAACCATCCGGCAAAAGCTTTTCCAACTGGTCAACGGTGATGCCCATGGCCACGGACAGCAACAGATGGTTGGACGTGATCTTCGGCCGGACGAACTCCAGCACCGGTTTGACCACC